ACTATTTAGATTTGAATTTTTCTTCCATTTTGCTAATTCAACAGCGTTTTCTAACCCACTTTCCGAAAAATGTTTCAATATATATACAAAGCAATAGAGAAAGCCAAGAAAGTCCTATATTCTTACTTTTTATTTCATGGAAATTCAAATATTCGCCTAACTGTTATCAGAGTATCTTAGTCACCGCTCTACCCCTTAAAGTGAAATGTCGATGTTTTGAAACCTTTTTTAACGTGTATTCGTTAATCTCATATAGGATCTCTCATCTCGCAAGAGCTCCATCTTGCATGCAGAAAGTCGACATAATGATCCACGGAATCATACTGTATTTAACATTTGAGCCTAATTATAGACTCGGCAAAGAAGATAAGACATATTGTATATCAAATTTTAGCATTGAGATAAAATGAGAATGCTAGTTAAACTATTCTAATCAATTCTCCTCTTCAGGTACTGTTATAAATGATATTGTTCTCGAAAGTGATCATAAACGGCGTCATTGGTATTATATTGTATCTGGAAATGACAATGGTCTATTTTCCATAAATGATAATGGTCAGTTATTTGTTACATCACAGTTAAATATTTCACTTCAAACAGTATATTTTGACCTTACGGTTCTGATTCATGATGGACTTCAAGAATATTATTGTCAAACACAAATACAAATAATAAAAACAAGAACATGGAATAATTTTGTCTGTCCAAAGGTACTGTTAAACAACAAATACATACTCTCGATTTAGTACATTGAAATTCTTCACATCTTTGCTTTTTTTGTAGAATACGTTTGAATGGTCAATAAATGAAGAAGTACCTTTAGATACTGTAATAGGTTCAATAATGCCCAATTTGATAGAAGCAAATAATGTTAGTCGAAATAATCACTTGAACATGAAACAAATAAATGATTTAGCAATGACACTCAGTGGAAAAGATTCATATCCGTTTAAAATTGATCAACAGACAGGTAAATGTGTATGAGATAAAAATTCGAGTCATATCTGGTCATAGAATGAGATATGAAATAGTTGAAATGTATCATTGTTGGATGTGTCCTACTCTTATCCATTTTCTACAATATGCTTCTAACTATCTATCAAACTTTACTTATCAACAGTTTTCTCATTTCTAGGTGTCTTAAGTGTAATTGATCGCCTAGACTATGAAACTCAAGCAACTTATCTATTTAATATTTTACTTAACCCAAGAAACAATGAACCACTGATTAATCTTAATTGTAATTTAACTCTTTTATTACATTTGTTCAATATCAATGACAATATTCCTCAATTTCAACTTGATAGTCTTCAATTGACTGTGAATGAAAATAATCGATATCCATTGTACATTGGCCGTGTTAAAGCGTCCGATGCTGATGATAAGAATGATCATCATTTGAATTATTACTTATTAAATAACACAAATAGTGATATTCTAGTGGATAAAACAACTGGTTCTATTATTCTCTTCAAAACATATGACAGAGAGTTAATTTCCATTGAACATTTTCTGATAATGGTTCAAGATAATAATAGTAATGAAAGTCTTAATTCTACAGGAATATTAACAATTAATGTTAATGATCTTAATGATCAACCGCCCATATTCGATAAACAAATGTATGAAATGAATATTAGTGAAACAACAAAATTAGGTAAAAATTCTTATTTGTTGAGTTTTGAATGAGATAAGAAATAGATTATGTAAAAATAGTTTATAATCTAAAATGAGAAAACATTATATTGTATGTTGTTGAATAATTTATTTTAAATTATACAATAATATTCTTTTAGATTCAGTTGTATTACAAGTTGTTGCATCAAGTCGTGATCCTGTTTCAAATGGTAACATTACATATTCTATTATTAATAATAATAGCAATATTTCATATTTTAAAATTGATTCTAATACGGGTATGATTAAGTTAATCAAACCGTTGGATTATGAACATGAAAAATATATATCATTCATAGTGGAAGCCATAGAAGAAAATATGTCTCAAAATATTCAAAATACGACACAAACTATTGTACATATTTATATTCTTGATGAAAATGATAATTATCCTCATTTTTTCGAACATTATGATTGTGAATTGAATGAAAATTTATTATCTCAAAATATTTGTACAATTAATGCATTCGATCAAGATAATGGAAATTATTTAACATATCATCTTGAAGATCCAAATAATAATTTTAATATTACATTAAATGGTACTATTTATAATTTAAAAATGTTTGATTATGAGTTAGATGAAATTGAACAAAATGTAACAGTAATTGTTAGTGATAATGGTCAACCAATATCTCATAATTCAACGTTCAACATTACTATTCACATTAAAAATTTAAACGATAATTCACCTCAATTCGAAAAAAAAGCATTAACGTTAATCTATTTCAGTTATCCAAGTGTAAACACAACATTGTATAATTTTTCGGGTATGTGTATGAGTCTAGCTATTGGAGAGGGTAAAAATTTACTATTACTATTGATAAAATGAACAGAAAATCGATAATAGATTTTGAAAGTCTATGATGAATCAGAGATGTTTCATGGGTCAACAGAACACAGTGTGCATTCAGTCGACGATGAAACGTTCTAATATTCAATGAATAAAAAATAAATATTTATAATAGGATTATCTAACAAAATTATCTTAATTCTCATTGTGAGTCGGAAACGGACAACGATTCACCCAAGCAAAAATGACTCAATTTCTTGACTTACTTATCTAGATTCAGTTCCATGTGCATCTAGATGTACGTAAAGCTGAATCTAGAGAAGTAAACCAAAAAATTGGGTCGTTTTGCTTGGGTAAGAAAATAAATTCGTTAAAATCCGGGTCTGAATCATATTGATCGCTCGAAATGGATATCAACTAATTATCTTCGTATCAAATGCCTTCGATAGACTCACAGGTGACACTCGAAGGCAAAGATCATTGATATCCTAGGTAAATTTCGATGAAAAACTCTCATTTATAAGAAGAAACTATTGCTGTACAAGGTCTTCTCCATAAAATATGACCGTTCTCATTAGCTTCTACTCTCACACTGATGAAATTTTGCCTATATGCGCTTGTGTATCTGTCAGTCCGTTTGCACTTTCCCGATCGGAAAACGTTCCCAATTAGGAAAGATGTTACCTCATTTCATTTCTTTTCATTTCATTTTATCCTTTCTTCATTTTCCAATCAGGAAATAGGATAGGATATTTCCTTGTCGGGAAAGATCAAATATTTCCCGTTTGAGAAAGATGTATTTCCCGATGGTGCGATACTATGCATTGTACTCTTCTTAACGTGCCAAACTCTCAACCGAAACCTAATGAAAATAAAAGAAATTTAATAGATTTTTACCAAGTGTCGAAAGCCGTTAAATAGTCCTCTCGAACTCGATAGCACGTATTTATAATTCTGCATTCTTCCGTTTTTTCCTGTTTTTTTTTCTTTTCCTTTACT